TGGTCATCTTTTTGCTTCATAGCCCAGGTTTAGATCATTTCTTCAACAATAGCAGAGGTGGTCTGATTGAGGACAGTCAAAAGGAATGACAGATGGGGGAGGCCGTGGAGGAGGGGCAAGGGTTCTGTTACACTGAGGAGATTACAACCAATGTCATGAAACAAAATGTGTATAAATTATTAAATGGAGAACTGTTACATTCTGTAAACTACAATAGAAAGTAAAAAAGAAAAACAGGTGTGCACCACATTGGATGCATTTAGAAATGTCACCCAGAACATTGTCATTGAAGAACGGGGTATTTGGGGGCTTAAAAGTTGGGTGTGCGCCAGTTGTTCTGTAGGAGAAAAATGTGGCAGTCTGCTTCTGTGGAAATGTACAGCCTTGGAAACCCTGTGGGGCAGTTCTGCTCTGTCCTGTGGGGTAGCTATGAGTTGGAATGACTCCACAGCAGTGGGTTTAGTTTGGCTATCTTTCTAAGATAGCCAGGCCATATTTAAAAAAAAAAAAAAAAAAACTCACTGCCATCAAGTCGGATCTGACTCATAGTGGCCCCTCCTTGGGTTTCCGAGACGATAACACTATGGAAGTAGATTGCCCAATCTTCCTTCTGAAGAGTGGCTGGTGGGCTTGAACCGCCAGCCTCTGGTTAGTAGTCAAATGCCTATGTAAATGAATTGGAAGCACCTAATTCCCTCCTGGCAACAAGTCTCAGGAGGAGAAGGTGTTGGATGAGGCCTCAACCCCCACACACGTGGGGCTTGCCAGGTGAGCTGTGGAGTATAACTATAGCCAAGTGGGGTGCCTCACAAGCCCTCAGCTCTGGTGCTGGTGTGACATGTGTACCATTAACCTTATAACCCAAACCTGGCTTTGCCCGGCCTGAGAGAGGCAGTCAGGTGTTACCATATGTCCCTCGGCCACAATACCAGGGGAAGGGAATGCATGGAAGAGTTCTTGATGTCCGCTGGAATGGCTTCCAGAAGGAAGTGTTAGGGGACCAGCCTGTCACATAACTGTCTCATTTAAGTCCTTCACCCATGTGATCGTTGTTCAGTTTGTGCATCAACTTGGCTGGGCCTGGTTGAGTGGCTGGGCAGCTGGTGGTAGTTATTCCTCATGATGAGACTGGCAGTCAACTCCATGGTGGGATCTACCATAAGCAGCTGAGTAGCTAGCTGCCTTTGGCATGTGGTCTGTTTCCTGTATATAAGGAGAAGCCTTGGGGATAGTCTCGAGTCTATGGCACGCTTGGACCCTGCATGTAGTCGTGTCATTGTTCAGCAGCCTACCATGCTCTGCCAAGCTGGGGACTTACAATGGACCATTAATGGCCTGCCTGTGCTTGGTAACTTCGGGACTGTGCCATTTTATTTGTCGATCTTGGGCTTGTTGGCCTCAGCAGCCAGTAGCTGCCTGAGTGAAGAAAAGCCTCCAGCTTCAGTGGGCCAGGAGCAAGAGGCAGAGCTGAAGCCCAAAGTCGAGGGGCTTTCACCCAGCCCCTAGAGCGTGGCACTTTGAACTTGGACTTAAAGCCCATTTGTGGTATATTCTTGTCAGAGCGGCACTAGGTAGCCAGAACAACCCATGACACATTTGGGGTGTGTGTGGAAGAGTCATCATCTCCACTCAGACACTTCTTGAGCCAGGGGGACTATTCACCATGGAATGTGTCTTGTTGTATATTGTATGCTTCTTTCAGTAAATAATAAAAGCTACTTTATATGTGCTAGAAAGAAAAAAAAAAAAAAAGCTGGGTGTGGGACCAGAGTGGAAATACCCAAAAGAGTAGGTATGAGGAGAAACCCAAGACCAAAGTACATATAAACATGCACACACACAGTGGGTGAACTTGTGCAAATCACGTACTCTCTCTGGGCTTCGGTTTCCCCAGGAATCTGGTGGATTCTGGATTCCTGGTCTTGGGCTTGGTAGACACAGATTTTGGGCTGCACCACCAGAGGCTCTGATTCAGTAGGTCTCAGGGCTGGGAGCCACAAGTTTGTATGTCTTGACACATTAAGAGTTTGTATGTCTTTCTCTAAGGTATATACCTATATTGGAGCTCTGGTAGAGTAATGCCTAAGGCGTTTGACTGCTAACCAGAAGGCTGGCAGTTCAAACCCACCAGCCACTCTTGGGAAGGAAGGTTGGGCAATCTACTTCCGTAGAGATACCTCCTTGGAAACCCAAGGAGGGGTTGCCATGAGTCGAATCAATTTGACAGTAATGGCTGGTTTGGTTTTTTTGGAACACATTCCCAGGTAATGCTGACGCTGCTGGTCCAGGGACCCCACTCTGAGAGCCATTAGCCTAGACGAGCTCTGTTGTTGTTGTTAGGTGCCAGCTCACAGCGACCCCTCCTTGGGTTGCCGAGGCAGTATCACTATGGAAGTAGATTGCCCAACCTTCCTTCCCAGGAGTGGCTGATGGGTTTGAACCGCCAGCCTTCTGGTTAGCAGTCAAACGTCTTAGGCACTATGCTACCAGAGCTCCTGACAGATGAGCTCTAGGGACACTTTAACTTTGGACTCAAGGTTCCTTGCATGATAAAATCTTTGGCCCTCGGTACAGAGAAGTCAGTGGTCAAATGATGGAAGAGACCTTTACAGGGCAGACAGTTGGGGATCCTGGGAGTCACGCAGTGGACACGTGAATGGATGCTCTGTGCCAGGGAGGGCATTAAGGGCCTCTGAGACCCAGTTGAAGGAGCTCTGGTGGCACACTGGTTAGGCGTTCGGCTGCTAACTGAGAAGTTAACAGTGTGAACCCACCAGCCGCTCCACAGGAGGAAGGACCTGGTGACCTGCTCCGATAAAGATGACAGCCTTGGGAAGCCCTATGTGGCCGCTCTTCCCTGTCCTATAGGGTCTCTAGGAGTCACAATTGACTCGAAAGCACATGACAACAAAAGACCCAGTCCCTGCCCAGGGAGGGTGGTCTCCCAACGACAAGCAGGACAAAGGTTGGGTCAAGTGATGAAAAGCAAGTGGCAATCTGGTTCTGCCACTTAATAGTGTGGCCTTGGGCAGGTGGCTTTTGTGCCTCAGTTTTCCTGCCTGTCCAAGAGGGAGAATAATGGTATTTGCAGGCCCAGGCACAAAGTGAAGGTTCCACATAAGTGGCTGTGGCTGCTAGTGTTGTTATCATTTGCTGTGGAGCTTGTGCGGTGGGGAGAGGGCGGTGAAGGAAGACCCCACCTTCCCTCAGCCACACCCCACCCAGCCTGGCCTGCCAGCTGCTCACTGCAGCCCCTCACAAAATCCAGAAGAGCTCGTGAGAAAAAGTCAACATAATTTATTAAATAGCTTCTGAGGGCTCTTCCAAGGAGCACGAAAACTCCTAGCACAATAAATATCAATAAATAAGCACAGCCACCACCTCTGGCCCTTGCAGGGCAAAATGACCCCGAGCAAGGGCCAAGTCTGCAGAAGAAGCACCTAGAAACACCGACATTGTAAGTGACATCATTCGAAGTAATAATTTACGATCCCAGTCCTCCCCGGACTGGCCCCTGGCCGGATTCCGCTAGTAACGGACCAGCGTTCTTGCGCCGAACCGACAGTTTATTAAGGCTCTGCACGTTTCTTTTGGCCACTGTAGAACACTTGGCATTATGGATTCGATCCATGCAGTTTGAAAACTGCTGTAAAATAGCTGAGGTGAAGCACTTTTGTTCAAAGTGGTCTTCAGGCACGGTAACATTTAGCCGAGGTGCACCCTGTGGCATGAGTTTCTTCAGCTGTTGTATGATCTCTTGGATAGTGTGATTGTTCACGGTCACCCGTTGGATCTCCTGGAAGTAGGCCAGGATGGCCGAGCTGTTGATTCTGGGGAATGAGCACTCGGAGATCAAACAAGGCAACGTGTAGTTCTTGCGTTCCGGCAGCCCTTTCTCCTGCTGTGGGGCGAGGGGAGAAGGGAGTGAGCCCTGGGTTCGCAGTGGCTCAGGCCCCCACAGCTGACAGCGCTGGCGTCTGTCATCCACGGCCAGCCTGTGCTAAGTGCCACCCTTGCCGTCTCCTCGTCGGCCCACCAACCCTGCGAGCTGCCACCAGGATTGCACCCGGGGCCGGCCCGTGAGTCCGAAGCCAGTGCCTGCAGCGGCTGCTCTGCCCTGCCGCCTCTGCCCGGCCTGCCAAGGCCCCCCAGCCTTCTGGAATCCGCTCTCAGGAGCTCCACGGCTCAGGACGCTTCCTGCCCTGTGTGAGCCTGCCCTACCACCACGCGTCCCATTTGTGGAGTGGGGCTTTGTGGTTGTCTGAGAGGCCTCCAGGGCGCAGGAAGAGCCTTTCCAGCCATTCCAAGTCCTCAGGCCTGCTCCCTGCCCTCCTCCCTCGGGACCCCTAGCCTTGGGTTTTGACTGAATTGCTTAGAGCCCCCAGTCAGCCTCAAATGTCTTGCCACCTTGAGTAACTAAAAGCCAAAAGCCAGGGGAAGGGAAGGGTAATGCCAGCTTCACGGATTGCTCCCGGTTTTTGACACTTATTTGTTCACCAAAAGCTATTTCTGTGGTTAATCTCAGCTGAGAACGTAAAAGAGCATTCATTTACCGCTTACACAGCCTCACCCTGTATATCAGGGGGTGGGCTCAGCAAAGCCTCTGCCAGAGCAGACTGGGTGCTGCCTAAACAAGTAAGCTGCACACAAACAAAAGCCGAGTTTGCCAACTGTCGTTCTCTGTGGTTAAGAGGCACTCCCGGTGACCCTCGTGAGGATTTGTAAGTCCTGTGTTGGCCGGGCCGTCTCTCACAGCTTACGTTGGCAGGCAACTTTGCCATCAGGCAGCCAGAGGATGGGCTTCAGGCTGCAAAGCTCATGTTGATATTACTGAGAACCAGCTGTGGTGGGGTTGCCAAGCCTACTAAAGTCTGCCCTGTCGTCTGTGAGAAACGGCTTTGTTTGCGGCTGTCTGGGCTAATCGCTGCCTCTGACCCCTCGTCAGTACACATCCTTACCCTCATAAAAACGCCATCCCAGCCCGCCTACTTTTCTCTGTCTCCTGGCTGTGCACAGCCCTATCTGTAGCTCTAGAAGGAGCAGGCCTCTTCTGGGAGCAACCGAGACCATGTGGAGAAAATGATTGGCAGAAGAAGCCTGTGGGCCACTTACGTAGTTCTGCCAAGTCATCTTAGCTGCGCCTTGTAATTCCATCAGTATCTTTGGATGCTCTGGTTGCGTCTGATGGGTGAGTGACGTGTAGAAAGACAGCATGGTCCCCATGCAGCAGAGCAGAAGAAAGTGTCCTGGAGAAAGAGAAGGATGCCGTGAGTAACCCAGATCCAACACCCCAGCCACCCCAGGGGCAGTCACGTTGACCGCTGGACCAGGCCCCTCCCCCGTCTTCCTCTCTATCTGTCCAGACAAGACTATGCCCAAGAAAGCATGTGCACAGGGCACACTAGTACCTGTGTGCGAGACCATGGTGAGCAAGAGCAAGGCTGGCTTCGGCAACAGCTTTGCAACAAGAACCACACGCTCACCTCGGTCGTCGGGGACATATAAAGGGCCTGTCGTGGGAAGGAAGAACCACCAGTGTCCCGCCCATGGCAAAACCATTACTCAGCTTTTCTCCAGAAAGCACTTTCAAGATTGTACCCACCAAGGTTAGGTGAAAGCAGTGCTGGGGGAAGGAAGTGCTGAGGTTACCCTCAAGGTAGGCAGCTGCCTGACTCAGTACACACAGAGGAAGACATACACATCTTTGCCATTTCTTCTTGGAAAGAGCTCGTTGATACGACCAGGAGAAATTCTAAGACCCAAGGTTGACAGGCGCAACCGCAAGGGAACAGCTGACTTACAGGAGTTGAGGGCCAGTGACCCACAGGGAATTTCTGGGGAGGGTCGCGGTGAGTGTGCATAGGCGTGAAGCTGGCGTGGGGTTCACAAAGTGTATTATCTTTGGAGATTTCTGAAGTACGAAGGTGCGGGGATGGCCCCATAACCACTGTGACTGGGATGAGTCAAAGTTTCATCCCCGTCCCTCTTAGTCTTGTTCACCAGCGGACTTGCAACTTGATCTTGATCTTGTTCAGCAGTGGACACGCAGCTGCGTCTTTGCAACCCTGGGACTTGGAACGCATCCTCAGAACTCTTTGTTGAAATCCCATATTCATTTTATTTTATTTTATTGTGATTTGGGTGAGAGTTTGCTGAGAAAATTCATTTTCCACACAGCAGTTCATCCACGTTCTGTCTAATGACATTGACTGCAGTCCCCACAATGGAACAGCTCTCGTCCCACTTCCTCCCATGGTTACCTCTTCCCTGTGTCCTCCTGTCCTCTGCACTCCTGCCCCATGAGCCCTCTCCCTGTGCGAACACTGCCCTTCTGTTCTCCCGTGACTGATCATTCTAAGGAGTGTATCTGCCTGATGTAAATGTTCACCCCTGTATGCCTGCCTGTTGTTTGGCTGGAAGCCAAGGGAATGAGTTCAATTCCAGACCTGAAGGGTAATTAGGGGCCATAGTCTTGGGGGTCTCACAGAGCTCTATCAGACCAGCAAACCTGGTCTTTTTTTATGATTTTGAATTTTGTTCCGCATTGTTCTCCTGCTCTCTCCAGGATCTCCTGCATTGATTCCTTTCCAAGTGGTTGACAGTGGTAGCTGGGCACCATCTATTCTGCTCTCATGGTCGTATAGGCTGAGGTTTGCGTGGTCTGCTAGTCCCCAGGACTAATTGTTTCCATGTGTCTTTGGTTTTCTTCCTTCTTTGCTCTGGATGAGGAGAGACCCTTGTTGCATCTAGATGGTCACTTGGCAAGCTTTTAAGACCCCAGTCGCTACTCACCAAAGTAGGATGTAAAACAGTGTTTTTGTGTAGTATGTTGTGCCAATTGAGCTTGATGTCCCCTGCGACCATGGTCCTGAGCCCACAGGTCAGACAACTCACTCCATCAGGGTGGTTGACTGTGCCTAAGAAGTTACCATCACTTCGTCCCTGGTTAGTTCTAGTTCTATGGACATTCTTACAGCACATACACGTATGTATGTAGAAATATCATCTGCCAACCTTATATATGGCCACGGGTATATTCCCTTTTGCCTAAACATACCTGATCATTCAGCCTGTCTGCCCATCTGTTGACCCATAGATTAATTTGTTAATTTAAAAGTTGAATCAGTTTGTTATCACTGATAACATAGTTGTTGTTGTTATGTGCCGTCGAGTCAAACCAACTCATAGCGACCCCTCCTTGGGTTTCCGAGGCAGTATCACTATGGAAGTAGGATTGCCCAACTTTCCTTCCGAGGAGTGGCTGGTGGGTTTGAACCGCTAGCCATCTGGTTAGCAGGCAAGTGTCTTAGCCACTATGCTACCAGAGCTCCATATTTATTTTTTGAATGGTAAGATCTGGCACTGTTCTAGGATCTCAGGAGTGTCAATGTATCAATAAGATAAGATCCTTGAACTCATGAAGCTGACGTTTCAGTGGCCAAGAGGCCAAGAAAGTATCAGGCAATGGTAAGAAGTTGATACATTAAAAATAAATTACACAAGGTGATGGGTAGAAAGTGACAGGTGAGATCTGTTAGGTCAGGTGATTAGGAAATGTCTCTCTGAGGTGACATTTAATCTGAGACCTGAAAGATGAGGAGGACTTGGCCATGGGAAGGTCTGGGAAGAAATTGTTCCAAAGAGAGAGGACTCTTGTGCCAAAATCCTCAGGCAAGATGACCTTGGTGTGTCCAAGGAGCAAGGAGCTGGTCATGGCGGCTGGGGTGAAGTGAGAGGGCCGCCAGGTAGGCAGAGGCCAGATAGTGGGGAGCCCTGTAGCCATGGCAACAAGCGTGCGTTTTATTCCAGTGTGGTCAGACCCCACAGGAGGACTTAAGGCAGAGAAGCACGGGATCCGGTGTACTTCAAAAAATGAGATAGAGAAGGCCTGCTGAGTGCAGGGTGCAGTGTGGGAATCCATGCTGGAAGCAAGAGGTTCTCGCAGCTGTTCAAGGGAGAAGGGATGATGGTGGCTTGGACCCAGGTGAAAGTGGATGAGCTGGAGTCTGCAGAACTCGCCAATGGACTGGACGTGGGAGAAGAATCAAAGAAATCAGTGAAGGGTGACTTAACTGATGCAGCAACTGAGTGGATGTTGTGCAGTTAGAGAAGAGAAATCTGGATGGGGAAGGAATGGTCCTATTCGGAGCGTGTTAGGCTCAAGATGCCCACTGGGCACCTATTAGATGTCAAGCCAGCAGCTGACTCTGAGTTAGGATCTCAGAGATGAGGTTAGCCCGTTGAACCCCAGATGCACAGGAGACCCAGCCAGGAATCTCCTTCCATCCTTAATCCCAAGTCTCCCTCCATCTACTGCTGGTCTCTTCTTTTCGTATCCAAGGTTCTTGACAGAGTGGCTACACTCATGTTTTCCTCACCTCCAAGCCACCACAGTATGGCTTCTGCCCCAGCAATTTGTTCAAATTCCCCTAGCAAAATTCTCAGTGACTCTTTTGCCTAATTTAGTGAAGTCTTCAACCTTTATCTTAGGTGACCTGCCCGGTCTATATGATGATGATGATGATGGTTTTTCCTTTTTGAAGACCACTTTTTCTCTCATCCCATGACAGTATGTTTGGAAGTATCTGTCCTGAAGTACCATCACTCTCCAACTCATCTAGTCTGGTCTCCAAGCACTTTTCACTATCTGATATTTTATTAAATATCAATATTCCCCACTGGCATGTAAGGTCCTTGAGGGCAGAGATCATGTCTGTCTTGTTTCCCACTAAATCTCCTGGCCCATCATGGGTGGTTAGCAAACATTAGTTGAATCTGATTTTATTTGCAGGACACATGATTGTCCACATAGAAAATCCTATGGAATTAAAAAAAAAAAAAAGTTTTGCCATGTTTCAGGATACAATCTCAATATATTAAAATAGTGCTTCATTAATCGAAAAAACTAATGGACCATATGAACTTGGGCCTCCACGACCCTGAGGGCCCGAGAACTAGACGGTGCCCAGCTACCACTGCTGACGGCTCTGAAAAGGGTCACAATAGGAGATCCCAGATAGAGTGGGAGAAAAATGTGGAACGAAACTAAAAATAATAAAAACGACCAGATCTGCTGGTCTAATAGATACTGGTGGAACCCCCAAGACTATGGTCTTAACACGCGTCAAACCTCGTTCTCATGGCTCAACTCTCAGCCATACAACAGACAGGACTGTAACGTGAGCAGTCACGCTAGGGATGTATGCGCCCCTTAGAGCAAGCAACCATACAAGAGCAAAAGGGCAGCATATGCCAGGGGTAAAGCTCCGAAGGCAGGACTAAAATAATTACGTTTCTATATACTGTTGTTTCTAGGTGTTGTTGTGTCAGTAGCAGTTCATACCAACCCAGTGGACAACAAGATGAAGCACTGTGGTCTTGCACCATGCCTCAAGTATTATTGCCATACTTGAGTCCATCGTCACAGCCACTGTGTCAGTCCATCTCTTTGAGGACCTTCCCCTTTTTCCGTGAGCCCCTACTTTACCCAACATGATTTCCTTCTCCAGGGACAGGTCCCTTCTGACACCACGACTAAAGCACAAGAGATGAAATCTGGCCGTTCTTGCTTCTAAGGTGCATCCCGACTGTACTTCCTCCAAGACACGTGTTTGTTCTGGCAGTCCATATTCCCTTGCTCCGTTTGAATGACTGCCTGTTGGTCCATGTGCAGGTTCCTCATGAGCACAAGTAAGTGTTCTGGAATTCCCATTATTCTCAATGTTATCCATAATTTGTTATGATCCACACAGTCAGGTATCTTTGCATAGTCAGTAAAATACAGGTAAGCATCTTCTCTGCTTTCAGCCAAGATCCATCTGACCTCAGCAATGATGTCCCTTGTTCCGTATCCTCTTCTGAATCTGGCTTGAATTTCTAGCAGTTCCCTGTCTATGTACTGATGCAAGCATTTTGAGTTCTCTTCAACAAAACTTTACTTCTGTGAGATATCAATGATATTGTTCAATAATTTCTGCACTCTCTTGGATCACCTTTCTTTGTAATGTACACAAATATGGATCCCTTCCAGTCAGTTGGCCAAGTAGCTGTCTTCCAAATTGCTTGGCATAGCCCAGTGAGTGCCTCCAGCAGGGCATCCGTTTGTTGAAACATCTCAGCAGATAAATGTCAATTCCTGGAGCCTCATGTTTTGCCAATTTCTTCAGTGCAGCTTGGACTTCTCCCTTCAATATTGTGGGTTCTTGATCATATACTACTTCCTGAAATGGTTGAATGTCAACCAATTCTTTTTCTATATACTAGCAACAAATAATCAGAAACTGAAATTTTTGAAAATACCATTTACAACAGCATTAAAATATGAGAAATATTTGGGAATATATTTGACCAAATATGTGTAGGATTGAGCACTGAAATCTATAAAATATTTCTGAGAGATGTTAAAGAAACCTAAATAAATTGTGTATATTGATCAGAAGAGTTACTGTATTAAGAAGTTAATTCTTCCCGAATTAATTTAGTGCAATCCCAATCAAAATTCAAGCAGGATTTGTG